GTCATCATACATTTTTTTCATCATATTTATAATCTCTTCATCATATTTTTAAGTTTCTTACGGTTTTGTTTTCAGTACAAACAATTTGAAACAGAATACCAATGAAAACCAATGACTAAACTTACAGTACAAACAAGTATAGATTTGAAAGAATAAAAATAATATATATAATCATTAAATGACTAAATTTACCTGTTAATTATGTTATTGTTCTTCATTTTAGCTGTTGTAAGCTATACCTTTTTCTTCTGCATACTCCATTCGAAAACCTCAAATTAAAAACAAAAATGGTTAGTATCAATAAAATCTATCAGGTATACTATATGATAAATAATTGATGAAATTGTACAAACAAGTATAAGTCTTGACTAAGAACTTGCCTGTCTGATTCATTGTTGCTCGGTTATGTGACGTAGGTGTGTAACCCGATTTAGGACATGATTATTTTGACTCCACCTCATATATTTAGGATAATATATTTGATGTCATTAATATATAATAATATGATATTCAATAAAAACTAAAATTGGACAACACTAAAACACATTGAATCAATCAACAGACACATAGACTGTCATCATTCTATCCAGGTTTATTTCAAAGAAAGAAAGCCCCATGCCAGACCATACAATTAACAACCCAAAATGATGAATACAATAAAATCGTTCAAGTCACAACATATAATATAAAAAAGTACCTATAGAAAAAGATTAAAAAGGAAAAATAAAATGAGTTTGCATTCGATAAAATATTTATAAAATGTTGTAAGAGAAATATGGTGTTGTCAAAAAATAAAAATAAAAATAAATAAATAACCAAGTGTTATTGAGTGTTTCTTTTCTCTCTATCTATACTTATATAACAAAGTATCTTATTTACAAAATTTAGTAGGTTGAAAAGTCAACGTAGTTAATGCATTGCTATTTCTATCCAAAATTTTATTTAATTAATTTATTTATTTGTCTTATATCCCATACAATCGGTTTAAGAAAAAAAAAACTCATAACATCCGATAAGTAAAAAAAAGTACGTAAAATCTTTACTAAATTAAAAAGGGTTTTGTTTATTTGTCTGATTCTATAATAACATCGATTTAGTAAAAAAAAGTTTCATAAAATCGGTGAAGTCAAATTTGTACGTAAAGTTTATCTATACTAAAAAAATGCAAATTCAAAATTCCTTATCTAATTTCTGTTTAAAGCATTTTATTTAATATTTATTTTAATAAAATATTGATAGGATTGCTGGAACTGAGTCAATTTTGAAATCGCGTTGTTTGGCATGAGAGGGTTATTCGCATTCTATATCTGTTTAAAGCATATTATTTAATATTATTTAATTAATTTATTTAATATTTAATTGTTTTATCCATGACATTAGTTTTGTCAAAAAAATTGAACAAACAAACAATAAAAAGGCATGAGATTAATTACCTTCGACTTACAAAAAATTTATGGGTGGACGTAAATATTTAACAATGTTGTTTTAAGTTCCTTAAATAATACTATAACTATGCTGTTGAAATATAATATGTTTTATGGGTGATGTAAATATGTTGTTTAAAGTTCCCATAAACAATTTTTTTTTAACATTATGTTGTTAAAAGTTCCTTCAATACTAAATATTTAAATCCATGTTGTAATATATTAAATTCAAAAAAATATTGGAAGGCTTTTGAATTATGTAATTTCAAATTATCTAAATTAAGTATTCAAAGGTTTAATCCAATTAAATCTTCAATCCATGGAGTATTTTTACTAATCTCGTAAGCATGTTGTTTTGTTATTGTAATCAATTTATACACTATTTTACTAATAAATTATTTAATATCTATGTACAAGGTGGTATTTAATAATATATGATTGTTTTTTCGTCGAATACTATTTTATTGTATAATTTTCCTGCGTCATATAAACTTTTCTTGGATATTACATCTTATAATACAATATTCCCCAAATAAATACATCTCATGTCTCGCACAGGTCCCGCACTATATATATCTCATACATTTTTTTTATTCACTTATATAATTATAAGGATGAATAAATAACCTTAAAATTGTGCATCCCATGCATCGCACGGGCTCTGTAGTAGTAAGGATTAACATAATTCATTTTCAGAAATACTTTCCCGCAAATTTCATTAATTATTGCCTAAAAATAGTAAATTAACAAAATCTCCATTTATTAGCATACTTTTTGTATCTAATTTTGTTTAGAAATACAATCAAAAATATAGAATCAAAATCAAAATAAATCTAAGAAATACACTTACCATACTTAATACACTTAACTTAAGAAATACAATTACCATACGTATTTTTTAAAAAAATTCAAATACAACATAAAACATTTAATTAATAATTTTCAATTAAAGATTCTTTTTAAGAATCAATCATATTTCTAATAATTGTTAGAAATAATTTGTATATATATATATATATATATATATATATATATATATACATACGTTAAAGTAACATATATTTTACTTATATGTTAACATACATGTTAATCCTATATAATAAAGATTAACATAAATTAAATTTAGAAACAATTTCCCGTCACTTTCATTAATTATCTCCTAAAAATTGTAAATCATATTTTTTCCTTTTTTTTATTAATAACATCAAATACTTTTATAGTGGTAAACAATAAAGAATCAAAATCCAAATAAACCTCATATTTTTCCAAACAATTTGGAAATCTGAATCTAAATCCGAATAAATCATGATTTTAGAAATCGAGATTTCCAAACAATTTGAAAA